AATGGGCACTGGTGGAGGGATGGGTACCTGATCATTGTATAATTGAAACCAAAGCACAAAAAATTGTAAATCTACAACTTTAAAAAAATAAAATAAAATAAAGGGAAAAAAAAAGCAATAAGACAAAACTGAAATGCTTAATTTATATATGGAATGAATAAATAAGTGCATATCTATTGCCATATCACCTTATAATTACCAGGAAGCACAGTTGGCTCTTTTAAGCAGTCTACAGTGAGCCCTCAATGTTATCAATAGGATCCTGGAAACTGTTATTTTAAACAAAACAATTTAAGGAGACTAGGTTTGTTTTTTATCACAAATATTACAAGAAATTTTAAAATTATTCATTAGTCAGGAACCGTCTATTGGGGTTGGAGAGATAGCACAGTGGATAGGGCATTTGCCTTGCACGCGGTCGACCCGGGTTCGATTCCCAACATCTCATATGGTCCCCCAAGCACGGCCAGGAGTAATTCCTGAGTGCAGAGCCAGGAGTAACCCCTGGGCATTGCTGGGTGTGACCCAAAAAGAAAAAAAAGAACCATCTGTAATATAATTCTAAAATCAAATCACAAACAAACACAAATCATCCTGTTATTCATCAATTGCCTCGAGTAGGCCCCAGTAACATCTCCTTCATCCTAGCCCTGAGATTATATTCAAGGCTCTTTAGGAGAATGAGACCCATCATTGTTACTGGTGTTTGGCATATTGGGTACGCCAAGGGGAGTTTGCCAGACTCTGCCCTGTGGGCAGGCTACATTCGGTAACCTGCCAGTTTGTCCAAAGTAGGAGTGAGATAATAAGATGTCATAATAAGATGTCGCGCGGCCGCTAATGCGAATGTGAATGCGGCCGCGTGCTTCCGGGATCTGGTTTTTATAGTCTGAGTCTTGGCCGCTGATGGGATTACACGGCGCCAGGGGGCCAGTTGGTGGGTGTGACCCCCGCCTACTGGAATTTGGAGGATCTGGGTGATGTTTGGCTGATGTTTGGTGTTATTAAAACAATGTCATCAGCAAAGCGGAGGTGGTGTAATTGCCGACCATCTATCTTCACTCCCATTCCTTCCCATTCCAGTCGTTGCATGATGTTCTAGAAGGTGGCACTGAAGAGTTTCGGTGAAATGGTATTTCCCTGCCAAACCCCTCTCTTGATATCAACGATCACTTCTTTGTAGAATGGTGAGATCCTGGTAGTGAATCCGCAATACAGCTCATGGAGGATCTTGATGTATTGGGCTTGAATGCCCTGATTGGCTAGGGCTTCAATGACCGCTTCTGTCTCAACAGAATCAAAGGCCTTCTTTAAATCAATGAACGTTAAACAGAGCGGCATCTTGAACTCCCGAGAAACCTCAATGAGCTTGGTTATCGTGTGGATATGGTCGATGGTGCTGAATCCTTTGCGGAACCCGGCTTGCTCGCATGGTTGTCCTTCATCTAGTGTTCTGCCAATCCTATTTAGGATGACTCGAGTGAACAACTTGTAGATGACAGACAATAGGCAGATTGGGCGATAGTTGCCAATGTCATGGATGTCTCCCTTCTTGAACAGTAGTACGGTCCTGCTGGTTTTCCATTGGGATGGAACCTTGCATTCAGACAGGTAGCAAGTGAAGAGCCGAGCCAGCGTATTGATGAGTACTGACGGCAGGTTCTTCAGGTGTTCAGTTCTGACCTTGTCTGGGCCGGGTACTGTTTGTTTCTTTACCGACGAAAATGGCGTGGCAGATTTTTAAAGGGAGAACGTTGGGAACGACATATCCATCCTGTGGAGTTTGATATGTCGGCAAGTGGACATGGCTATCGAAGAGATTTGAGTAGAAGTCATGGATAATCTTCTCCATTGCCGTTCTGGAGGATGTGATGGATCCATCAGGACGTCGGAGGGCAGTCATCTTGGTCTTATAGTTGGCGAAGGACAGGCGGGCGTAACGAATACTTTTCCCAGCTTCTGCCGCATCTACCAGTACTTCTGCTCTTCTCTCTTTGAGGTCTTCCTTGATCGCATCTCTGCACTGCTTTGCAAGCTCGGACGTTAGCTTGTGGTTGCCTGAGGCATGCGCCAAACCACGCTGGCGAATTAGCTCAAGAGTTTTCGAAGATAGGCGACTTTTTGTGGCTATCTCTCTCTTGGCGTTCCTCGCACATTCATGGAGGTGCTGAACCAGTCGATCGTATTCCTCGTCAATGTTGTCAACAATGGCATCTTCCCATGTTGCCGCAATAGTACCAAAGAGTTCCCAGATGGTGGTCATTCTGGGAGTTCTCTTTTTGAACTTTGCAGCCCTTTCTCCCCGCTCTGTGAAGTAGAATTTTGCACGAAGGAGACGGTGGTCCGATCCCGTTCGAAATTTTGGGACAACAGCGACATCAGTCAGGCAAAACCGTCGATTGAATATGATGTGGTCTATTTCGTTGTGGAATCGTCCACCGGGAGACTCCCATGTCCATCGTTTAGATTCTGCCTTCTGGAACTGTGAGTTACCATGGATGGTCTTGGTCGACATGATGACCTCAGACAGTCTCTCACCCTGTTCGTTCCATTCTAGGCCATGGGTCCCGATGTGAAGTTCTTCAGCTGATCTTCTCGGTCCTATCTTGGCATTAAAATCACCCACAATGATCTTGTAGAAAGTGTGGTCTTCTTTATAGAACTTCTCCAGCTCCATGTAGGACTTCTTGATTTCTCTTTCATCATAATGAGATGTTGGTGCGTAGACAACGAAGATAGAAACTGCAGGCAGTAAGTCACATCTATTCAAATGTAAACGTCCGATTCAGGTTGTTAGGCATTCGAATGAATCAATGCTCTTGGCCAAGTTTGTGTTGACAAGGACACCGACGCCTCCAAAACCTCTTTTATCACATGTTCCGAGGAACAATTCTTCTCCAGTGTTGAAAACGGCATGGTGAGATTCGTGCCTTCCTGTCTCGGTCAGACCAATGATGTCATACTTGATCATTCACGCTTGTACCATCAGGTCCTCGATGGATGCATCTGATGCTAGCGTACGTGCATTGAAAGTACAGACGATCATTTTATTAAATCTTATTAAAAATTATTGTATATTATCTCCTGATTCAATGATTTAATTCTGGTAGGTACAAGGTAGATGAGTTTCATCTACCTTGAAACTCAAAGATTAAAAACTCAAAAATAAAGAGCAGTATTTGGAGACGTAGTACATGGGTTAACGTACTTACCTTGCATGCAACTGATGATAGTTCTATCCAGAGTACCACATATGGTCTCCTAATCTCCACCAGGAATGGTTTCTGAGCAGAGATGTGAATAAGCCTTTACCATGGTTCAAAAGTCAAAATAAAATCAAATAAAGAGCAAAGAAGCAAGTGTACTTTGCTACATTCAGGTCAAATGTGCTCTTAGGGTAGGGTGAGGCCATGCAATTATTTGATTTTACAAAACAAAGCCTTCTCCTTGTAGTGATACAGAAGTCGAACAGGTGGGTGAGATTAGAAATATGGCCCTTCCCACAAGGAATGCCCTAAAAAAGAAAAGAAAAGAAGAGAAAAGAAAAGAAAAGGAACCCCCTGGTATGGAAGGTCACAAAGGAGGACTAGGTGGTGCCCCACAAGCTGGATGACATATGCCTGTTGGATCAGGACACCAGAAAATGATCATCTCAGCATCTCTCCCCTGTTTTAATGCCCCACACTTTTGGAGCATAATAAAAGCTCACCCACCCACCTTTGTTGAAAAGGTATGAAAGAGGAAAGGCTTCAACCTTTTATTTTTTTTTAAATCCTGCTTTAGGAGAACCCTCCCATAATCTGGAGTTTTCCCCATATTTGTTTCCTCTCCGTGCCTTTCCCTAAAGTCTTATACTCAATTTAGTTATTTGCTCTCCTGTCTATAACTTTCAGTTTTGACTGATTGAAGATAGAACATGAACATCTGCACCCACAACAAGATCACCTGGATTTAAGAACTCCAGTGTCTCACACACACAAACACAAATGAGGGAGCAGAGAGATAATTCAGTGGGCAGGGTGTTTGCCTTGCATGCAGCCAACCCTGATTCAGTTCCTGGCATCACATATGGTCCTCTGAGCCCTGCCGGAAGTGACCCCAACATGCAGAGCAATGATTAGTGCCAAGAAACACGAGATGTGATGTCGGTGGGCCCCACAGGTGGCTCATGTGAAGTGGGGAGGAGAAATCAATCACTTTCTCCCAATCTGCCTCTGCCACCGAGGACCCAGGGTTACTTGGTTCTTGTCTCACTCTCAGAAAGGAATTTCAGGAGTAGGCAAGTAGTGAAGTAAATAGATTTTATTTATTGAAGGGTTTTTGAAGGTGTGGAGGGAGAGAAAGTGAGAGAAAGAGAGAATAATGTGCTCAAGAGAGAACGTGTGCTTCTCCAAGGGCGGATAGAGCCCCTACATACATCCCAGCATTAGATAGAAAAGTATAAAAGTACACATCTCAAGAGGGGATATGTGCCACATGAGCATAACCCAGCACATGGGCTTGGGAAGCATATGCGTCCTTTTCCTTTGTTCAAGGTGTCTCTTATAGGCTCTTCTCGGGTTGTCTTGATCGGGAAGTTCTGGAGTCTTCTCAGGGCTGCATCACATTTTAATAAGATTAAGGGAGAGGTCCAAGGGTTTGAGGAACTTCATGGGGAGAGGTCCAAGCTCCGCAGGGTCTGCTGAAAGTCTTATCATGTCTGTTTTATGTATCCACAAGGTGAATCAGTTTTAGGATTTTCCTCCCAGAAGTTCTGTTGACCTAACTTTTATTGCCGAGGGCCTTTCTCTGTCTATCTGCCTATATCAGGTGCAACCCAATGATGATTTTAAAAAATTAAAAAGATGAAAAAAGATCATCAGAGAGACGAGAGACACCGCCATCGCGACCCTCGATTCGCTAGTGATATGAAACGGGAAGGGCCCCACAGGAACTGAGAGCTCCCGTCTGTTGGGGCCCCAGGTAGGCCTGCCCAAAGAAATGAGCGGTGGATTGTAAGAGCACCATGTATGTATCCAACTTGCCTTTTTCCCTGACCAACAATGACTTATCCCAGATATTCTCCAAGTATGGCAAAGTTGTAAAGGTTACTATAATGAAAGATAAAGATACCAGGAAGAGTAAAGGGGTAGCATTTATTTTGTTTTTGGATAAAGACTCTGCACAGAATTGTACCAGGTCAATAAATAACAAACATTTATTTGGTAGAGTAATAAAAGCAAGTATTGCTATTGACAATGGAAGAGCAGCTGAGTTTATCCAAAGACCAAACTACTTTGATAAATCTAACTTTTATGAATGTGGGGAAAGTGGACACTTAAGTTATGCCTGTCCCAAAAATATGCTTGGAGAACATGAACCTCCAAAGAAAAAAGAAAAACAGAAGAAGAAAATTCCTGAACCAGAAGAAGAAATTGAAGAAGTAGAAGAGAGTGAAGATGAAGGTGAAGATCCTTCTCTTGACAGTCTTAGTCAGGCCATTGCTTTCCAGCAAGCCAAAATTGAAGAAGAACAAAATAAATGGAAAACCAATTCAGGAGGTCCCTCAACATCAGATGATTCAAGACGCCCAAGAATAAAGAAAAGCACGTATTTCAGTTATGAGGAAGAACTTAGTGATTAAAATTTATTTATTATGTAAATATCATAAATTTTTTAAAATATTGACGGTACCAGTTTATTTGGGCTAATAATGATTATTTTCAGTATTCAAGCATAAGAAAACTTAGTATCAAATATTTTTTATTCTATAATAGTTCATTAAAATTGAAAAATAATTATAAAGTCATTTTCTGTCTTACCAGAATAAAATTTTAAAATCAAGATATTATAATAACCATTTACCTTGAAATCAGTTCATTTGAATAAAAAAAACTGTCATAGTAATTTTACTGTCATCCCAAATAAAAGAATAGATACTAGGAATAATTTTCTGAGACGTTTATAAAATTTTATTCACATCCAAATAGCTTACATGAGGACTTTTGAAATAAGTATTTTAACAAGAAGTGCTCTTCAAAACAAGCAATTCTTCATGCCAGAGAGTTAGTACAGGAATTAAGGATTAACCGGAACTAATCGTCAATTCATTCCGCAGAATCACCAAGAGTGACCCTTGAACACTGACAGGAGTAAAGCCTCAGTATCGTCAGTTATGCCCCAAAACAAAAATTAAAATCAAAGACTTTTAAAAACTTTGAAAAAAGTTAAAGAATTTACTTTTATTCAATAATAATAAAATTTTCAAGATAAAAAAAAAAGATCATCGAAGACCATCTGCTCCTTCCCCCTTGCAACAATCTACCAAGGGACTGATGGAGGTGGCAGGGAAGGCAGATTTCCTTCTCTCGGCTGCTGCTTCTCTCCTTCCCACTTCACATAAGCACCTGGGGAACCCACTCCTTCTATCGGAGTGTAGGAAGGGTAGGTGGAGGGTCAGAGTCTACTACCTGCAACGAAAATAGGAGCTATTTTCCAGGGAATATGGACAAAGTGTGTGTGGAGAATGGGTGGGGGGTAGATATGGTCTGGGAAATGGTGGATGAAGCCTAAAAATCACCACCAAGAACCTTCTGTTAGAGAAGATACAAATAAAGGGAGTGGCAAGGGGATCCTCCAAGGATTGCTGCACTATGAAAACCAGAGACAAGCCCTGGAAGCTGAAATGGTTCACAGTAGGAAACATTCTTAAGTGGTCACAGTAAATAAGAATTGGATAGTGGGGCAGGCTATGGGTAGGACACTTGCCTTGAATGCAGCCAACCCAGGTTCAATCCCTGACACCACATATGGCCTCTTGATCGCTGCCAGGAGTGATCCCTGAGGGCAATCAGGACTGTAAACCCTAAGCCAGGTGTGGCCCAAAAACAAAATACAAAAAAAAAAAAATTGGATAGTGTTTTGGGGATTAAGCAAGAAAGCTCACCGCCTTGGGAAAAACAGGTTTAGTGGTTTGTGTATCTAGAAATCAGATTACTGAGGGCCAAGTCAAGAAGCCGCAGGTGCAGCTTTAACCTAGAAAGGAGGGGAGACAGACCAGCCGCTGACTCTAAGCTAGGGGAGTGTGTTGTTTTGAAGGTAGATCAGTTAATGGCTCTTTGAAACAGGAGGAAGTGAAGTGTGAGAAGTGAGAGCTACTACTAAGTTTTCAGGAGACATGACAATTATTGTGTGGTATTGAAACTTTAGTCTTCCATTCGTTTGTTTAAAAGACTGTCATCTGAGTCGGTCAAAATCATTTCTAAGTGGGAAGTCCAAGAAAGGAAAGGCGGCAAGATCTTGAACATTCGAAAGTGAAAGAAGAAGGTCTACAAACTTTGTGAGATACATGAGATAGATTTAAATAATGTCTGGGGTATATAGACTCGCATCAAATAAGAACCTACAATTGAAAGTAGTTGAAAGGAGCATCCTGCTTCCTGCTAGCAGAAGCTTTTTTAGGGGCAATATCCCAAATTGCCACCAGGTGGGGATAATCTCACAAAAAGATCACTTGTCTCCACCACCAACACTAATTAAACACGTGGAACCACTGAGAATACCAAGTGCGCCCCAAAGGACTGTGACCCTTCTTACTTTCCCAGCACAAAAGAGGTTTCCTTTCTTATTTTTCAAAACAATGAGAAACAATTATAAGTCGTTGAACTGAATTTGTTGAACAATTATAAATGTTAAACAGAATAATTATGAGTGTTTTTTCTCTTCACCCAAAATTACTGAAGACTTGTCACACACTATTTTACTAATATTGAACATATAAATAAAAAGGGAATGTAACATAATTGCTTTCTCCTGCACATTTATTTCAAGAGGTTTACTAGAAATTAAAAAACCATTCTAAGGGATATTTTGGTCATGCTGGTATCACTGGGCCATGGTATTAGATTGTTTGCACATCTATGGCATGTATGAGTCTGTTACTTGTATTTTACAAACAAAAAGTTTCTCTGTTACAATTATTAGTACTCTGAAAATACTTGCCTAAAGCGATGTTAATGTTTAATTTTTGCTTAAAACTGAGTTCTACTTTTAAAAACAAGACTGATTTGATTTGGGAGGAAGAAATAGTAGTAATAAAGTTCTAAGGAGCATGTTTTCTGTCCGTCTCATCTAATGTGGTGATGCTGTTGGCTAGGAATGCCTGCAGCACTCATCTGAGCCGTCTCCATGTGGCAAGCCTCCATTGACGGTTCTGATCTAGAGCTAATAATGTGACTTACCAGCCCTTGTGAGTCTTAATCCAATTGCAAGATGCACCTCAGCAACAGCCATCAGGGACCTTGAAAAAGAAACTAAATATTCACAGGTCCTGAGGTTAATTGGCAAGCTGAAGAGCTAGCAAACACAATTGATAGTAATGTCACAGGTAAGAGGGCATGAGGGGTAGAGGGGGAAGCGGAGCCTGGGCCTGAGTCTTCTCCTTTACCAGAGCATGACACTGAGATGTCTGAGATTTGGTGGGGGAGGGGGCCTCTCTTCATGGCAAATTTAAAACCCATAAACTGGAATTAGAGTGCAGGCGGGGGAAAGCAGAATCATTCAAACCATTGCTAGGGATTTCTTAAATAGGAACTTCTCAGGGTGAGGTGACCTGTTTTCTTATCTACCTGATTTGCTAGTAGCTATGTTTTTATAGCTAACTTATTTATTCAAGATGCATGTCTTTGATATGGATGAGTTATCAATATAGCTTAATATTAGACAATTCTATCACATGTTATTTATTTAGGAAGATTTGTTTCAGGGGGAGTTGTGTGTTTTCTGTTCTGCCTAAACAAGTTATGTATGACTTAGTTTAGGCAAATTGCTTTTGGCTTTATAAAAGTTTTAAAGACTGATAATCATTTTATAGGTTTGCTGTTTGGGTGGGTGGATAGGTATTTGGAAGCTGATAAGTTGACTTTTCCTAGTCAGTCTCAGGACTTCAGATCAGGAATGGGGAAACTTTTTTCTGTCAGAGTCCATTTGAATATCTATAACATTATTCTTGGGCCGTAAAATATAGGCAAATGGGCCAGCGAAAAGGATATATTATCCTATAATGTACCAGGGCCAGACCACAGGCATGACATTACCCAGTCCTGTGCAGTAAAACGATTTTGTATCTTTTTGAGAGAAAAAAATTCTAGAGATACTACTCTAAGCAACAGAAGTAAACGTTTTCAGATAACTTAAAAGATCCAGGAACAATTTTTTAATAAATTAATTTCCCAATATCCCTTTTCAGTCTAGGGAAACAACAAATATTTTCTAATTAATATTTATAAGCCTGGTATTTTTGACAACTTTTAGGAAAGTAGAGGCCCTCCCGTTGATCATCGATTTGCTCGAGCGGGCCCAGTAACGTCTCCATTGGAGACTTTGTTGTTACTGTGTCTGGCATATCGAATACTCTCGGTAGCTTGCCGGGCTCTCCGAGAGGGGCGGAGGAATCGAACTCGGGTCGGCCATGTTGGCTGCGTGCAAGGCAGACGCCCTACCCGCTGTGCTATCGCTCCAGCCCTCTAAATTTTTATAATCATAGAATTTAGGATTTTCTCATTAAGCGTTTTGTCATGTATTCCTGAAAAGTTAAAAGACAGATTTTATTAATCATTGGGATCTATTAGTGGAGAAAGGTGTTTCCATTTGCTTTTCAATGTGAATCTCTGTTTTAAGTTCTGCAATTCCAAATATTGAAAGGTACAATTGTAAAAAATTGTAAAAAATATAAAACTAAATAAAACTTCACTAAATTAGTCTTTTGATAGTGCCTTTCATAGCATGATGACTTATCTTTGACCATAGAGGATGAAATGTCCATGTTCCAGGAAATGGAGAAAGGAGGAAAAAGGAATAAAGAACGCTGTGTGTCCTGCAAACCTCTCATCTGAAATAAAGCACAGACTATTATATGGGCCAACTGACATTCTGCTTTGCTTGGTCAAACATAGCAATTATGTGGCAATGGTTAATGAGTCTACTGCCAGTCAACTGGGGGACATTTTATTACATCTAGTTTGTAAACAGAGTGCAATTATATCAAAGTAAGGGTTAGAATGGGGCTTTAATTTTACTAACTTAAAGAATTATTTGGAGATTTTGATTTGAATTTGTTTTGTTTTATTTTTTGGTTTTGGGTCATCCCAGCAGTGCTGAGGATTTACTCCTGGCTCTGTGCTCAGAGATCACTCCTGGTGGAACTTGGAGGACTATATGTGGTGCTGGAGATTAAGCCTGTGCAAGGTACGTGCCTTACCTGTTGTACTATCTCTCCAGCCCTCTTGTTTTTTAAAAAATATCTTCATTTGGAGCTAGTGTGCACTCAATAAACACTGCCCTAGACACTATATCCACACCATACAGGTGGTAATATGTACGAAACTTTAAATGTCTATGAAAACATTTTCTATACTGACCATATAATGTTTAACTGACTCTCTCAATGATAGGTTGAGAGCAGTCATCTTCAACCCTGCATGTTTATCATTTATTTTTCACTTTTTAGCATCTGTCAGTACATGTCTTCTTCCCAAGCCAGAGGGATAAAGAAATGAAATTCCTCTGGAAAAATATATCACCCCTGGTATTCAACAGCATCATCATTGTAATGTTTAGCTTCTAATGTGTCACTTGAAGTAACTCTGATGTTCTCACACTAGCTGAAATGTTG